AATGAGGTTAGCCAGGGTGTTCTTCAGGCCAGCATTCAAAATATTCCCTTTTCAGCTAGATCTCTTCAAAGACTGAAGCATCAGATTGTAAAAAATAACATCTGCTCCTCTGTGATTATGTGCCACCTTGTGCCACACCAATACCACTGGCCAGGTCTGACCTGTTATCCTCAGAGACAGTTTAAATCAACTCACACACACATAACTGCACATTATTTTAACAAAAGGCTTTAATTAAAAAAAAAATCTGCTATATAAAAAGTAGCCCTGGAGGTTCACTAACAACTTCTGTGGTGCAGAAAACCACAGGCTGGGAGACAGGAGCTCCTAAATTATTACCCTCTGCATGTCCCAGGCCAACACGTCCTAGCCCTAGTCCCAGGCCCACAAGCAGGGCCTCAGCCAGCTGTTTTGGCCCTTGCTGCTCTTCATCTGCATAACAAGAGTTATGCAAAAGAAGGTCTGTTGGAACAATAAAGCTCCTCTTAATCATAATTTAATGTTGCCAGCTGGAGAGAAACAGCCAGGCTTTTCCTCTCTTAGTCACCACTCTTCCCCTGGGGAAGTTTCTGAAACAGCGCTGCAGATTGCTCTTCTCTGGCAGCCCGAAACACATTGGCAATGAACTGGGGGGAAACAAGGCATTTTACATAATTCCCAGCTACCTCAGACACTTAACTCTATTCAGGCTTTAGAGACACCTGACAGCACACACCAGCAGTCAGGGCAGCAGCAGCACAATACTGTGCACAGTGTGCTCCTCACCTGAGCAGCACAGGACCTGGCAGCAAGAGACATGTACAGGAGCTCTCCAACAAAAACCTCTGGATTTTTTTTTTTTTTTTGACTAAGTCACTTGTATTTGAAGCCTTTGCTGCCCTTCCTGTCCATAAAGGCCGCTGGCTATTTCAGCAGAACAGAATGGCGGGAGCAAACAGCAGTCAAGAGTGAGTGGGCAGTAACTCAGCTGCCGACAGCATTTGCTGAGATCAGCATTGAGGAGCTCAACACCTTCAGTCCCTCGGAAGATGTTTCCATCCTTCCAGGCAGGGTACACAAGGGAAGGCGTGGGACACTGTGGAGTTTGGGTCTCTGCTCCAGAGCAAGCAGGTAACACACCGTGCCTGCTGAAGTGTGTAGGACACAACTGGGGACCTTTAATGGCCTCAGCAGTAAGCGTTGTGCAATCTCACACTCCTTCCTGAACTCCAACCCCACCATGTCCTTACAGTCACTTCACAAAAGTGCCAAGGTGAGCTGGGCCAGTGGCAGCAGCTCAGGCTTGTGTCAGCCCACGGGTACAGGGACGCCAGAGACCGTGGGCCTGCAAGGCAGGAGAGTGGGGAACCTGTGAAGGATGTTTAGTCCCTCCTCCTCAAACTAAAGCTACCCTTGCACACGCAGCTGCTGCTCTGTCCTGCACGTTACACAGAGCACAGGCTGCAGTGAACTGGTGTGTACTGGGGGGACCAGAGCTTCCAAAGTGATGAATGTCAGGATTCACAGACAGTGCTGGGCACACAGCCCTGGCCAGCTTGGATGGCACATGCCAGCTCCAGTGACCTGCCAGTGTTTTTCACCACCCATTGCTCAAAAGAGCTGTCAAATAGGGTCACTGGCTCTGCCTTCTCCCATTTATGGATAAACTGGAATGATAGAAGTAGCCAAGAAGCTTTATCACTTGATCAGTGTTAACAAGTACTAAATCCAAGTACCCTTAAGGTCTGGGAAAAGGAAACAGCCAAACTAACAGGAATCCTGGCAGAAGCCACTCTACTTTTATGTAACTACACTGGGACTTAGACAGTGACAGGGATCCAGAGGAAGCATTTTATGGTGATTACGGTATGTTTTTATACACCATGGCAATGCATACAGTGCTTCACAAACACGGTACAACGCTGTCCCTGCCCAGAGAGCTTACAACCTAGAGCAGCAGCACAACCAGAGACCACAGTGAGGGGTAAGGAGACACAAAGTAAAAAAGTACAGCAAACAGGACCGGTATTTGTTTCCATTTCACCGAGGTAGAATTTTGTACAAGACAACAGCAAATGCAGACAAAGGAGATCAGCGACAGCCCCCCGGGACAACTCCGCGGCTCTCCCCCATCCCAGAACCACGGCTGCTCCAGAAGGCTGAGAGCCAGGTCACCGCCTCCCCATCGATACCCATTCCTTTCCCGAGCGCCCGCCGGCAGGCCCGGAGCTGAGCAGCGCAGCGCTCCCGGGGCAGCACGGGCACTGGGGACCGGGGCACCGTGTCTGCGCGGGGAAGCGGACGGGAACCTCCTGGGGCTGCCCTGCCGGCGGCGAAGACGGCACGGAGCTCCTCGGCGCGGCGGGCCGGGGCCGGCGGGCGGCCACGAGCGCCCAGCGAGTGCGGAGAGGAGGCGGCGACGGCGACAACTCTGCAGTCTGGCCGGGAGCGGTCCGGGGGCGCGGCCTAAGCGGGGCGGCGGCCGGCCGGGCGGGTACTTACGGTGGCGGGCTGCCTGGCAGGACGCGTGGCCGTCGCTCCGTGCTCGCCGCTGGCGCGCCGGGGCCGCATCCTCATAGCGGGGCGTCCCGCGCCTGGCCCGCGGGGGCGGCTGCGGAGACAGGAGCCCGTTACGGCGCCGCGGGGAGGGGCCGCGGGACGCGCAGGCGCGGCGGGGGCACAGCGGGGGCGCGGCGGCGGGAGCGCGGCGGCAGTGGCGGCCGCGCTCTAAGATGGCGGCCGCGGGCCTGCGCCGCCTCCTCTCCGCCGCCGCTGTCCGCCCCCGCCGCCTCCTCTTGCACGGCGGGCCGCGGCCACGCGGTTGCGCCGCTTACCTGGGCGTGAGGCCAGGGGCTGCAGGCACCGGGCACCGCTGCGTCCGCCACCGCCGCCGCCCCACCTCCGCCTCGCCCGCCCCGCCGCCGCCATCTTGCGCCGGGGCCGCGGGTGTGGAGCGCATGCGCGAAGCAGAGCCCGCGCTTGGGGGAATTACATGGCGCGTGCGCAAAGGCTGCGCGGTCACCCCCGCCCGCCCGGAGCCATCTTTGTGGCGGGCACCGCCCCGCGGTGGGTGCGGCGCGGTCGTGGTCCCGCCCGCGCTGTCCCGGAGCCGCTTAGTGCGGACCGGTCCTGCCCTCTCACCCGCCGCGGGCGGTTTCCGGCACTGGCAGGG